TTTCTCTACAAATATTGCTATATTTCATCTGAGTGTTTACTATGATTCACCTTCTAAATACTGTTTCTATTGTATTTTTCTTTGGAACTAATATTTACACATACGTTTGTTCGGCAAAAGGAAGTTTTGCTTAAAATATTGCACATACATAGAAGACTATTTAACATTATTTGCTTTCCTAAAAATTATACTATTCGAAGTATATAAGAAAATATGATACGTTTTATAACAATTGTTTGAATATTTTTGAATATTTTATGAATATTTTATTAAAATAAGATTCATTATATATGTAGGTATCATTAATTTGTATAATATCATACATTTTCAGACTATCGGACTGGATGTATCTTTACATTCTTAAAACGATGCTTTGATCTTTGAATTGCCGGGCTGTGGGATAAGAGAGGTCGAGGTGCCAGGGTCAAAATCGTAAAAGTTCAGGGCAGGAGTGAGTGGGTGGATAGAGTCTTTATTTGGCATGGTTTTAAGGGGTAAAGGAGCGAAAGAGAGAAAGAATCGAATAAAAAGCTTTTCACTCATTTGGCTTCATTGAACTCACGTGTTAATTATAGATTATACACACATTTATATGCATTTTTATGGAGTTTTTTGGGCGCGGGGCAGCAGAACACACAAAATGAGAATCAATTCGTATCACATTGATTAATCGTACTTCGGTCATTGAGAAAAGTTTCAAAAATTTAGCAAAGAATTCTTTCGAATGCAGCGAAAGACAGAGATGGAAAGACGAGGCGACAGAGCGAGAGCGACAGAAAGATATAGAGAGATAGATAGAGACTGGTGCTGATGGTAAAAAAGCTGCGAATTAACTTGATTCGATTTAGATTTTAGATGTGGGAGGCCATGTCTACGGATGTGGGTGCTTTTTAGGGGGCTAAGGAGCACCGCCCGTACAGAATGATTGGCAGATTGCTTTGAGTCTTGCTTGGCTTGATATTGATTGCTTTTTGTTATGGTTATCAAGTTTTACCTATATTCAGTTATGTTTTTTAATAATCGCTCCCAGTTTTCAGAACTGAAAATGTTTACAAAAATTATATTATCTATGGGAATAAGTAAATTATATAGAACATAAGTGATTAATCGGGTGGAGAGAAAAAAGACGGATAGAGAGACAGTCGGGTGGGTATAGTTGATCGGGCTACACTCTAGATATATGCTGAATACTTCTAGTTCTACCTATGCTGAGTGTATCAGGTTGATCAGTGTTCTTGTTTTGTACACATGTTAATGGGTTTTCAAAATTTCCAATTTCATGCCCTGAGCTGTAGCCTGGCGGTTTACCAAATTCAGCGCCTTTCTATGCGCTTCTCACAATTTCTAGCTGGCCAGCTCATAGACACACCTTTAAATGTTTTCTTTGGTTATGCACACCAATGCAGATTGTGTTCGTGTAAGTGAGTGTGCGAGAGTTTGCGACTGTGTAAGTGTTTTTTCGTTTCTGTACAAAAGTCGTTGAGCTTCTCCTCTGCAAAATATCCCCAAAAGAGACTTCAGTTTCATACAGATGTTCCGCCCCACAAAGTATCAGTCGAAATTGATTCAATACTTACGAGGCCGGCGGACTGGGCAGGGCAACCCGGTGGATATTCCACGTGGCCACCGACACGGAATGCTCGTCGGCCGCATAGCATCGCCACACGGCTTGGATTAGAGTGGCCGCCGGCTGGCGACGCCGGATCATGTGCTTCTGTCGCTGCTGCTGCTGCACTTTCAGAGCAAATCCACTTCCAAGGATGCCCTGGAAAAAGATAGTATTTCATAATGAAGTGACTGAAATTTCATATCATAAAAAATTCAACAATATCATTAGTTTAAAAAAGTTAGATTACATGGCGTTATTACAATTACTATAAAATTAAATAGCAGTTTGTTGAGGTACGTTGTAAAGTCCTCAACCAGATATTTCTTTTTACATTTAAAAAATGACTTACTGCAGGAAGAGCGAAGAAGGAGATTCCCAGAAGAGCACAGCAAGAGGCAATTAACTTGCCTTGCCAGGTGATGGGCACCATATCTCCATAGCCCACTGTGCAGAGCGTTATCTGAAACAGTAAATAGTCGACTTACAATCGAAATATTTACTAGAGATTGTAACAACTTACCACTCCCCACCAGAGGGCCTGGGCGAAATTGCTAAACTTGTCATTAACGTCCTTCTCCCACATGTAGACCAGGAATGATGCAAAGATTAGACCTAAGAACCCTATGTACATGGTTGTTATCAGCTCCTGTATAAAAATATATATAAATATATATTTGTAAGCGATCTTTATAACACAAGTTAGTTTTAATATCAATTTTATTAATGCACTTATCAAACGTATTTATTTGATGATAAAAACCCCCTTGATATTACTATCTATTTATTATCTTTATTACTATTATCAATTTCAACGTTAGAACGTTTGAAGCCCATATATATTGTCTTAAAAGTGCTTGACAGAGATGTTTAGTTATATACATCGTTTTTTTTAATTTCTTATAAGGCGTTAGGACTTATTTGATAAATGGCTAGCTAACCCACCTGTCTATGTGCGTATACAACCGATCCGAGCAACTTCCAGGTGCCGCCCCTTCGATCCATGCGCACCATCCGAAGAATCTGAAAGAACCGGAGGCCACGTAAAGCACTCGTGGCGAACACCTGGCCCGAGGTGCCCATCCCTAATACTACAATTGAGGCTAAAATGGTGACGATATCTGAAACATGGAAATACATTTTAGTTTCCTAAACCTTTTGAGTGGTAATGTTAGCCCACCTATAATACAGAATGGTCGCTTCACGAACTTCATCCGACCCAGGCATCCCTGGTATCGCGATCGGCAGCCCGATGACCAAAGTCGAGCCCCGAACTCCATCGTGAACCAGATGACCACCAGGATCTCCATACGGAACAGGATGTAGACGGCGTCCTCTTCGTACTCCTTGATGGTGGAAAACACACTGAGCGCCAGGCAGGTGAACACCATCAGAAATCTTAACGGAGGAAGGGAGAATTTTAATTTAATTTTAAAACCTATAAGGTATATTTAAAAAATATTATTTTTAGAAAAAAGTTTATTTGAGATACATGTATTTTAACAAAACTTCAAAATAAATTTAACCTTTAACAACATTTTTCCTATGTTGAATAACAAACTTATTATTTTAGTGCAGAGCTGTAGTATCGTTAGAATAAAAATGAAATATAATAAAACAATTTAAAGCATTTTCGAATTGTTCATTGAATTTTTCTTTGGAAAGTTTGTTTATTATGAAGGAAACTTGTTTATATTTTCAATATTACCATTTTTATGTATAACTTTTACTATTAAGTGATGTGAAATAGAGCTTAAGAATTTAATAACAATACGACATTTCATCAAAACAAGTATCTTCTTATCACTTTTAGTTGCACTTATAAAAGTTCCAAGAATGATCAAGTGGTATACATATTAAAAATGGTATCTGGAGTGTACTTACACCATCACATGGTAGAAGATGGCGTGCAGGCCGCGGGGCCGCTCCAGGAAGTTGTAGAGGCGACTCTGGAGGCGCCGGTAGCGAACATCGCGGCGGGTGCCGCGGTTGTAGTTCAGCGGCTTTCCTAGGAGTGACATTCGCGGTTGCAGGATTCGTTCCGAGTTCGGCCTGCCCGGTCTACATTTCCTGTAATCCACAAAATGACACTTAGCTTTAGTTTTTATTGATTTTAAATATAACGTAAGCTGCTATTATGGTTTATGGTGTACCCCTTGTACCCCCTTATGTCGTAGAAGGCATAAATATCGTTGTCCGGATCCATTGTGATCTCATTCCACCCGTATGCGTTCTCGGTAAATCTCGGCTAATATTTTTTTGACACTTTGGACACGTCTGGCTCGAACGACGATTGAACCGCAACTCGATCGATGGCTGAGCGTCGGCCGGTTAAAAAACCTTCCCTAACAACTAGACTTTCAAAACCCCATGTGTAAATTTTATTAATTATCTACATAAACAGTTTTTTCGTTCCACACACCTTGCATTTTTATGATAGCCGAAGTCTGCGTAGACCTCTATTTGATTTTATTTTAATATATACCCTATATACTCAAGTATATTGCACCTCGTCATCAACAAAGTGCCATAAAATTTCGCGTATTTTAGCGACGTTTTCGTTTTGGTTCTCCTTCGCCGTTGTGGGCGGGTCAGGTTCGCTTTAGTCACGATCTCCCGACTTTGTCTTTGCCCAACGTGCTGCCAAACGATCGTACGTCATTAACATTAGGCACTTGCCATACCCATACCCCACAAACAACCCAAATATGGGTGAGTTTTGGCAATTAGTTCGGGTGTGCTGGAAAATTACCAGCCCAAGGGGAGAGTTCCATTGAATATTGATATTGGAGTTCAGAATTCCTTCGTAGAATGTAAAAAATACCGAAAAAAAAACATAGGATCGCACAATAAAAACAATATTTCTGAGATCGTGAGGTAAAATTGGTATTACCTTTTTTTATTTTTCAAATTAAATTATCATTTCAAGATCATTTAAATGTTATTTATAAATTCACTTTAAGTTGTACATTATTTTAATTTTCAGAAGAAATTTTTATATAGTTAGTTGTTCAAATCTTCATAAATAAAAGAATGTTTATAAATGTTCATGGCGGAACTACAAACATTTTTAGCATAGACAAACTATAACAAAATGGAAGATACATATTATATTATATCATTGGAAAAGAAAATTAACTTTATTAACGTTTGTTTAAAATTGATATTCCTAAGTAAATATTTTAAGTTTACTCTGTCTGAGAAAACAATGATCTTATAACAAGGAAATATCAATAAATTGCTTGTGCAATCCATATTGATGCATTTGATATGCTATTTACTAACAAAACAAAGAAAGACTAGACAAGGAAAGATTTATATTGGCTCATCTTCGATTTACTTTATAAATCAATGCAAATTTGTTATGAATCAGCTAAAAACACAACTACCGATGATAGGCACGCTAATTATCGTGATTTCTCTAACCAGAACGAGTAGTTTCCCCTACAAATGAAGCACATACATTTTATAGTCATGTGCGTATGTAGATAAATACAGCTACAGGTGGTTTTCATATTTTTATTTCCCCTTTAAGATAACTTTATTATAATAACCTAATAAACTTATACTTATCGAACACAAAATTTAAAGAGATAATAATTCCTGGGAACTCACTCCCAAACTTATGATGTAAATATATTTGCAAACATTTAAAAAATAACTTTAAATTATCATTTGTCCTTTCTTATAACTCCATATAAACAAAAGAGACCTAATGTCTTAAATACTATATATTTAAAATTAAATGTTTATTAAATTTATGTAAAAGAATAAATGTATATTTTATTTAAGTGTATATTACAATAATATTGGTATAATATTCATCTTATGAAAATATGAACAAGATTTTTGAAAACACATAAGTAGGTAATTTTAAGAATTCTGGATATTTATAAATAATTTCTTAAATGGCCAAAGTACTTGTGCCCTGCACATAGGTATGCTAAATGGACATATAACCATCAGAGATTGTTATTACTCTGCTAATTATATGTGGGAAGCTGGAGAGCCAGTTCTCAGGTTTCTTTTCTTCGGGAAACTTTTCAAAGCTTCGGCGAGATAATTGTGCTGAAGTCGTTATCGACATATAGATCGCGAAAGCTCCACACTATCCACGATCGGTGGAAATGCGCTTGTGTTGCGTTGTTTTGATTCCGCTTCATGACTCATATCTTATCTTCCAGCGATCCCCAACGGAAAGTGCTGCCCATCACCATAAAACGAAGATAGTCGGTCAATTTTAAAATTGTTTAATGCATTCTTGCTTGTTTTTTGTTTTCTTTTGTATTGTATTTTGTATTTTATAGTTTTGTGTTTTTGTGTGTGTGGCTTAGGTTAGGCAGTAATTAAAATATACGATGTGGGTGCGCAATAATGTTCGCTTGGCCGTTTCTCAAGAACGTATTTACAAAGTGGTTGGCTGGGGAGAACAGAACAGCATTAACAGTAGCAGTAGAGTACGTTAAGTATAGATGAATCGCGTACAAGATCACAAATTGTAGCACCAGGCGGGGGGAACACGAAGCGCCGCTCGGGGGCAATGCTAATCCTCTCCAGTTCCGGAAGGATTACGGGGCCTTAGCCCGTCTCACTTCTTGGCATCGATGATGATCTCGTCGCCCGACTGGATGTTATAGCTGTACAACTGCTTGTTGGGGAACCGCATCTCCTCGGGTCCGAACTCCTTGTAGTCCTGATCCAGATAGTAGAGCCGCATCTTGTTGGGCGCCAGGCTAACTAGTTTCTCCAGCTTCACCTTCAGATCATTGACGGTCAGATAGATATCCACAAACCGACTGTCGCTCACATCGTTGTAGGTGAACAGTACCTTGACCCGCTTGTCCGGCTTCAGGCTCACATTGACCAGGGGATCCAGCTTGCCATGGATCTGCTGGAGCTCCTCGTAGCGCTCGGGTCTCTCATCTTCCGGCTTGTCCATATAGTAACGCACAAAGGCCCTCTCGGAATCCACACGCTCATCGTTGGTAATCTTGCCCCCGCCATTGAGCATCTCCACATTGGGCAGTCGGGCTATGAGCAGCTGCCTCCTCTCGTGCTCCGTGCACTCCAGACTCTCCCACAGGGGCCAGTGCTTCACGCGGAGATTCCGGAGCTGTCCAAACTTGGCCAACTGATCGATGGCCGTCCAGCTGTCCAGTTGGGCGGAACTGAGATTCAGTAGCCTCAGACTGGGGAAGTACTTGTGGGTCTCGCCGCTCTCCTCGGCCTGCAGCGTTCGTATGGGACAATCGGCCAGGACCAGGGCCTCCAGATTGGGGAACAACCGGCCCAGGCGACAGATCTCCTGCCAATGCTCGACGGGATTACCGGTGAAGTGCAGGGTCTTGAGGGCGGGATGGGCCTTGGTTATACGCCGCTCCGTCTCCTCGGGCGTTTCCTTCTGCTGCAGCCGCTGTTCCGCCTCCTCGGCATCGATCAGCACCTGCCTGTAGTTGTTCAAACTGAGATGCAGTTCCTGCAGCACGGGCAGGTGCTTCAACAGTGTGTCCACACAGGCCCAGTCCAGGTAGGTGCCATTCAGCACCAGGCTCTTCAGATTAATCGTGGGGGCCGTGGGCAAAGTGCTAATCGGACTGGCCAGCTGGTTCTTGCTCAGGTTGAGGAACTCGATGCGCGGCATGTGCTCCAGAATGCTGAAGACCTCCGACCAGTCGCTCAGCTTGTTCTGGGCCAGATCCAGTTCCCTAACCCGCTGGCACTTCTCCCGGATGCTCTCGAAGTCCCCGGCCGAATCGATGTCGCAGTCATTGAGGACCAACAAAGCGGGCACACTGGTCAGGGGCGATAGGCGGGGTATGAAGATGGAGAACTCCATGCGTCCGCCGCACTTGGTGACCGTAAAGTCATTGGGCAGGTCACTCCGCTTGTGGAGTTCCGGTTGGTGGGCATTCTCGAATTCGCATTCTGCGAAATACTTGCGCTCCAGCGCCTCCAGCAGCGAAGGCATGGCGAAATGCACTTCTCTTGGAGGGGTATAGTTTATATGGGATAGTTTTGGATAGTCTCTCCCCCCCTATATGTTTAGATGGGGTTTTTTCTTATTTTGAACCCCCCTATTGATTTTCCACTTTTCCAAGCTCATACGAATTTTTCCTAGCCCGTACGTTCTGTGTGCTGGCTATGATGCAATTTTTCAGTTTTGCGCAGTTGCAGTCTTCATTGATTTTAAACAAATTATTGCGCACGTTTCGTTGTATTTTTGTTTCTACTGTTAACTATTGCGCACTAATTCGAGTCTCTTTTTTTTTGGTTGATTTCGAAGTGCTTCAATGTTAAAAAAGTTTGTAACAAAGAAACCCAAAGTGCGTTGGTCTGGGCTTGTGTTTTTTTTTCGAAACTCTCCTCCAGCTTAGATGCGTTTTCCCTTTGTTGTCGTTTTGTATGTTGTTGTTGCTGCTGTTTAACCTTTGTCGCAGTGGCCAGCTTTTCCGCTTTTCTGCCTTTCTGGTTTTCTGTTTTTCTGCTTTTCCACAAACGCTCTCTGTCCGCTCGCAGTGCCACCAAACGCTCAACTAACCACCGAGAACCGCGAAAACTCCTCGGCGGTGCAGTGGCTATACGTATATACGTATAGTCGAGTGTATATGGGTGAGTCGTGTGCTCGTGTTCGGATTCGGATTCGGATTCTGGCCTGTTTAGTGCTTTTTGTGTGTAGGTCGCTCGACATGCGCACAGGAGCGGTTCAGTGATGAAAAGGGGTAGTCCGTCTGAATTTTAATTCCTGGAGGAGGAAGTTCCACTAACTCAACTGCGATAAGTTCTCGTCTGATGTCCGTCCGAAATCCGATCAGACAAGAACTTATCGTTTAATTTTGACTAAGCCCAGAAATTACTAAAAAAAAAAACCAACCCTGGGGCGTACTTCTCACGGCCCCCTGTTATAGGGTTTGAAGTCACCCTGCATGAACAATACAATTTACAAACTCAATATTCAGAAATATTAAACAAAAATATGATATCATTAATGATATGAAAGAGAGCTCTCGTAGAAGTTTAAATACAACGCAGAACTCTTTGTTTAATATAAAAAAATTTTTATCTTAAAAAAACAGAGGCTTTAGGCATTAAAAACAAATTAGAAGATTGTAGAAGCGTAAGTAATAGTATTTTATAAATCGACTCTCTGCGGGCCCAATTTTGGGCGCTGCGTGCGTCCGCCCCCCATGTAAACGATTTGACAGCGACCTTGCCGACAAAAATAAATACGTTGTTTCAATTACGAAATTTTGTTTAAACTAAGACGGCAGAACAAATTATTTGTTTGGCTTGCTCTCGCTTATTTTTTTGGGGTTTCTGGCGCAGGCGAGAGCACAAATAGAATGCCCATCAGTAGGGGAAATATTAAAAATAAATAAATACATTTACAATGACCTTGTCCCGTGTGCACTTGACAGGTGCCCTAGAAAATACACAAAAAAATTAAATAGAAATAGATAATACATTCTTTTGGCTGTCAAATTGGGCGCCCCAGTTTCACCCGTGGAAAGTGAATTCGCCTCTGGTGGGCCGTGAGGAAAACCAGTTATAAAGTCAATGGTCATGCCACAGTGGGTACTCATTACGAGTGACACATGGCCAATTGTGATGACGAGTGACACTAGCAATTGCGAATGGCATGGGGCAATGCAAATAAATAAATTAAATAGATTGATTTAAATTTCGTGTGACCTTGCAGTTCATAAAGTGCCGTTACATGGGGGGTTGGAATTGCATGTCAAAGGGGTTCCACTTTATAGCTTGAAAGGTGCGCAATAGATTCGCGAGAGATCAGAAAGAGAGAGGGGGTTGTTGAGCAGGGGGAGCAAACTGAGAGGGTTTCGGAGAGCGGGAGCGCAGAGCGCCAATTTACAACACACAAAGCTCGCTCTCTCTCCCTCTCTCTCTCTCTGTATCCCCCACTCAGCTGGGCCTTGTTGTCCCACGAAAACAAAGCAAAAACAAACAAAAGGGGGAGAGTGGAAATCACCACTCACATGTTTGTTTGCATTACGGTGCTTTAATGGACAACAAAAAATTACGCAGCATTTGTGCTGGAGCTTTGCCAGCCACCAGCTGATTGTGTTTGGGCAGAAAAGCTCCCACACCCCCAACAGCCTCCCCCAATTTGGACACCCCAAAAAGCTTTCGCGCCATGTGCAACACCAATCAACAAACAAAGAGCAAACAGATGGCAGCACTGTGTCCGCTCTTTTTGTGCTTTTCCTTTGTCATTGGGGGGCGTTATGGTTTTAGTTGTTGTTACACCGTCACCATATCGAAGGTTTCGCTATACAGTGAGACCTCGCTAAAGAGTACGTTTAAGATTAAAAAAATGTTAAATACATTAATCAGCTAAAAACATTTTTTTTTTTAAATTTAAGCGATCAGAATTATTATTGCTTTTGTATGTATTAATTATATCTTTGTTGCATAGCTCAAAACAATATTATTGTTTTATAATTTTTTTAAGGTTTTACAAATATTAAAGACATAATGCTTTTTAAACTAAGTCAATATATATATTTTTTAAAATACTTTTTTCACATTTTAATGTTTTTTTCAAAATTGTTTGACCTTCAGAATGAATGAAGATGGATCTATCCGGAAAAATTGATTTGTTACGCTTTATATCTGCCTTTTATTTTGTTTATATTATGCTCAAAATATTTTGTTTGATTACTTTTTAAGAGCTCCAGTACAGATACATCTTGTGGATGTGTACAGAACTAAATTTAAGAGATATCGGATTTTTAGATTAAAAATATGCATGTAAGTTTGTTTGTGCTAGTAAATAAACATTTTTATATTTAAGGGAAATATAAGAATTTGAGAATGGGATTTTAAGATGTATTGCCTTAAAAATATTTCCACAACTTTGTGTGAGCAAATAAATTCAAGTTTACTGAAGTGTAAGTGTTATTATTTCAAGCTCACTTTAAAAACTCAATTTCAAATTTAAATTAAATTCTCTGTATTTCTTGTTACAGAATTTCAACTGCATTGGCTCTGGTTTTTTTTTTCCGCCACCGTTCCGCATGACTGAAGACAATTTGCGAATATTTCACTGTGCAGGCGGCCATAAATATGCTCCATAGATAAAAGTGCTTGTACAGTGTACACACATGCAAGCTAATATTCCGGATTGACAGCCCGTTGCAAATTGGTCAATGCCTGAGCTGGGTTCAATCAGGTTCCAGCGATATTTCGCTTTCCATTCTTTGCCTATTGTACTTGTATGAAAAGCATTTTGGGAACATGAGGAATGGAAAAGTCAAAAATGTTGACAGCTTGAAAAAATACCTGTATCATGCGGGCATGCATTTTAAAGTACCTTGAATTTTGCTTAAAATGCTGGTACTATAAATCAAATAAAATGGATTGCTTATTTATTTACAAGCAGATGAAGGATATATCACCCTTGGAAAGATGTTCTTTCATATATTTAAGAATTATTAAAATTATAATTGAAACAAAAAAATATTTTGTCAGCAATTGGGAATACTTAGAGTACCTTTTATATAAAAACAAATAATTACCTTTGTGAGACTTATAAAAAAATGTTATTTTCTTAAATTCTTATTAAATTTCACAAGAGGATTCTCAAACACACTTTGTCATCGAAAAGCATTAAAAGCCACGTTGGGAAGTGAACTTTCACTGACCATTCCTATACCATTCTCTTTATGGGGCTCTTAACCCCAGAAGTCAATCACTTAAGTAGGCCTGAACCTGGGCCATATAGCCAAGTTGAGGACTCGTGTGTGTTTGCATCTATCAAGTCATCAATTATGTCGACGACCCACATCGCTCATTAGCTATACGCTACATGCGTTTCTTTTTTTTTGTATACATATATACCTAGCCGATTCCAAGCACCCCTAAGTGTCTATATTTAACCAAAATCGTTGAGACTTTTGCGCTTAGACTTCTTGGCATTTTCGTTCTGTGCGATAATAGTTGAAAATATAATTTTCTGTTATGGTTTGCCGGCGAAAGTAGACGGGCGAATAAGTCATTTGTCAATAGAATTTTCATTCCATTTGACTTTTCCCCAGTGACCGGTCCATAATTCAGTCGAGTCCTCTGGGCCACAGGTCATTCGGACCATCAACATCATATATTATATCATGTATCACATATCATGCATCATGTATATCAACCAAATTTATTATTTGCTGATCTATATGCGCATTGATTTGCCTTTATTGGGGCCTTTTTCATGAAGATGGATGCGTTTGGAGGTAATTAGGAATTCTCAGTTGCTTTGCAGCGGTATAAATATTGCTTTTATGGCCACAGAAACGCTGGCTTTTGTTTACACATGGGATCGGCGCAAAGGCCTGGGTATAATCCAGCCCATTGAATTTTCAAATCGATTGCGTCAATTAATGCAGAAACTAGACGAGTTTTTGTGGGTGGGTCGTAAAGTTTCTAAAAATTGTGCTGGTGTCTGCGACGTTTAACGACTTTAAAGCGAATGGCACACACAGAACCTCAGAAATGGCAGCGTAAACAATGATATGGAAATGGCACAATTTTCCCTGGGCAGCATCTTTATTTCTCATCTCCTTTGTCTCACTTGAAGTCTAGACGGTTTTTTGAATTATTGCATGATGTTTCCAGTGTCAACAGCATCCACTCTCTGTGGTTCGGAGTAAATGTGTCTCGACGGCGGCTAACCTTGCGTATGAGTAATTTCATTATGATTAGCCGCCATGGGCTGCATTTGAAATGAGGTCTGCGGGACCATCCAATGGTTTTGATATATGAACAGTTGGGAGCCACATAATAAGACTATAAAATAATGGCTGTCACATTGAATTAATATTTTGTCATACCAACGGATATTTCTTGGCTGAAAGGGTTGGTTTAAAATGTTTTTCTACATCCTTTGATAAATATGAACAGTGGGGACTTCCATAAAAACGTAACATAATATAATACATTTTGTTATATGTATAGAAAATTTTAGTATATCTTTGAATAAAAATGTAATCGAATATAATTACCCATTTACCCAATTTATTATTTAAAAACAATTTTTTATAACTGTATGATTTAACCCAGAAAACTTTCTATAAAAATCTCATACCACATTATTAATAAATGTTGTCTGAAACTCATTTTTAAGTTTGCAACTTTAATCATTACCCCATTTTCATTTGACTTTAAGAACTTCAGAATTCGAGCTATAGTAATTCTGCAAATCTTGATATAATGTTCCAATCCTTGCCGTTTTTAAATGATATGGTAAGTATTACTCGTTGACATACTTCTCAGAAGATTAAAGCTTGGCTCGTAAATTCTGGGAGGGAGAAGCAAATCAAAAGATAGAAGAAAAAACCATGTTCCTCCGATAAAAACAAACAAATTACAGTGATGACAAGTCAATATACACTTTTTTTACTTTCGATCAACGATTTTTAATTCCATTTTAGCGTTGTGGCTGTTATGCTCTGCTTCTTCACGCCTCGACTAATTTGTTTTGGACCTCGAGAGCGGGGCTACGGGGTGTTTTATGGTGTAGATGGGTCGGGTCCAAAGGGTGCCTGTCAACTAGCAGCGTTAATTTAATATGCGACATTTGCACTTTTCGGTCAGGCACCACCACCGTTCCCAAGACTTTGGTTCATCG